GATTATTAGTAAGAGAAAAAAAATTGGTTGAAAGTTATAGATGTGTAAAAATTGTATGTACTACTCTTTTTCATAATATAAGAAGTCTTTTAGAAAAAATTTTTAGCACAAAATATAAGAGGTTGATGAAGTAATTAATAATAGTTTTTCATTTTTACTCTTTATTACAAGGAAGAGAGAGTTTTAAATGCAAGATAGAGAAGATAATTTTTCAATCTCATTCTTTAATATAATAATGGTAAAATCAATAAGTTTTATTAAATTAAAACATACTAAGTTAACAACTTAACTAACATTCATTGGTTTGTAAGAAATTTTAACTATTGTCTCATATTATGGATTAGATGGAGTATATCTCTATTAATTGTATGGAGTTACTATCAAGTAGTAGTTCTAATAAAGAGGATGATTTAAGGAAGTTACTGCACATTTGTTATAAATAGTCAACTTAACTAATTTTTGTAATATTTTTAAATTAGTTATCTAGTTCTTATATTAAGGACATGACAAGTATTATGTTGTCAAATTATAATAATTATCAATGAAAAATTGCTGTTATATCTGAATTTCACAGTTTTGTGATTCCAATTTTAGAAATTCCATCTTCAATTCAAAGCTGCTAGCAAGGCAATATGTGTGTGTGTATAGATAAGTAATGTAGTTTTTTTAATAAATTATCCTTATTTTATCTTCTCTCTTTTTCAATTTTTGGTGATAGCGTTGCCTTCAAAAGCCATATAACATGTTGCTGGTAGCAACTGAGAAAAGTAGCAGTATTAATTACACATTGGTATATCAATATCACAAGACACTGGTACTTGAAATGAAACCGGAAAAATTTGCTGAAACGATTACTTCGTAAGATCATTGAAATTTTAGCAGTTCATCATTTTCAATATGGCTTAAGTTAAACCATTTGATTTATTATTGGCAACCAATTAAACCACCAGTTTTCTCAATTTTCAACAGTTCACCTATTCTTATGCTTTCCCTTTCAGACCGGTTCATGTCACTGTTTGAATTGAGCCAATGACTAGTACATCAGTTTTCTTTCTCTCTCTTTTTTTCATGATGGAACCATTAGCATCCCTTGAAGGGGTAGAAGTCTCTCCCCGCCTGAATTTTTTCCATACCTAGAGATTGAAGCCGACATCTCTAGTTATGGAACCAAGGTACTTATCACTTTTTTATCAAACTTTTTTTTCCTACGCATATCTATGTTCATATAAGAGGCAATTCTATTTAAGTCACTGTAGAACACTAATTATAAGCACTTCTTTTATTAAGAATTCAAACTTTGGTTCTTCAAGTTATAAGAGACTAGCCTCTTTCACCCAAATGTCATTGGTTAGCTAACTATCACTTCAATTAACCCGATGTTGGCACTAGCGCATGAGTTTGATTGACTAGTTTGGTTTAAATTTTAAGAAAAATTAATCTTTTTATCATTATAGTTTTGACATGTTTATAACATAGTCCCTATACTTTGCTTTAATGTAGCTCAATCCTTATAATTTTGACTCTGTTGTAATCAGTCCCTTTAACTTGCTGCAACTCAGTTCATATAGTTTTATTCATTTTATAATTTAGTCCTTGTATTTTTGAAAAATAAAATTATATATCTAATAAAAGGAGAGATTAAATTATAAAATGTTAAAAGTATAGGGACTAAATTACAGTGAGTCAAATTTCAGGAATTGAGTTACAACTTAGTTGAACTATGGGGACTGAGTTGTATCGAGTCAAAGTATAAAGATTGAATTACAAATAAGTGAAGGCTACGGGGATCAAAAGAATAACTTTTCCTAAATTTCAATACAGGGGCCAGTTGGCAACTAACTGGGAAGACATAAAAGCTACTGTGAAATCATTTTTTGGGGTCACAATCATTATCCATAAAGCATTACCATTGTAAGCATGTTTCTTTTTCTGGCAATAAAAAGGCTTTCTTAAGCTAATTATAGAATACTCCTTTTGTACTTATTTTTTAAAAAATGGTTGGACTCTTATTTTATCCCAAAATAAAAGAAATTGGAGAAACTTAGTGGTGCCACTAATGAACCTTTCCCGAATTTTATTCTTCATCTGATTATTGTGATTTAACTAAAGTTTGATTCTATTCACTAATTTTAGTCAGGGAATTTTTCATTTGACATACTTAGATCATTTAACTAACAAAATTAAATTTTCCTTATTATTGAAAAATGTACTCCTTTTTTTTTTATATCTTTATTTGGAAACTGTGTGGGGTACAGTTTGGTGACCACAATAAGTACTGATAAAGAATTGCCATTATAAGTTGGTGCCTTGGAGGACATTGATTGGGTCTTCATTATCTTTCTGCTTCCTGCCATATATTATAGTCGCTCATTAATATTTTTGTCAACCCCACATATGAAGCAGGCGATCTCGGGTTTAAATTCGCGTAAATATAGAAAATATTTTTAGAAGAATTACATACCTCCAAGTGAATTTGATAATATAATACTCGAATCTGACCTGATCAGATATTTTAAAAAAATTTAAAATTAATTAAAAACAATAAATATGTAAGAAATACAATTTTCAGATATACTATTATTACTGGTTTAAAATAATGAATATGTAAGAGATGTGATTTTCTTTAAATATACCCCTAGTTAGAGGATGAGTGAGAACGAGAATCAGTGGGAAGTAAATGAAAATAATAATTGAGAAAAATACATGAGAAAGGCATAATTACTTAGGAGTGAAAATTTTAAAAAAAGGAAATTAAATTTTTAAACAAGTACAAAGGGTAAATTGTAAAATTTATATTTTTTCTAAACACAAGTATTTTTTTAGAGAAAGTAATTGTATTTGAAATACTGTCTGATATTTTTTTTTGTTGCCCAGAATATCCTCTCACCCGAACGGTGAAAAACTAATCTTACGGAGTATTATCAGGTGCCGGTGAGAGACTAATAACACTGTTTGATACTCTCCGTTTCTATTATAAGAGACATTTGATGCTTATGGCATGTTCCTATATATAAGAGACACTTAAAAGTTGTCTCTACTTTTTTGTGTTGATTTTCTATTTTACCCATATTTATTGTTTCCAACTCACACTCTCTCTCCCTCCCACTTCTCTTTCTTTCAATAATTTAATTGTTCTCTCTCATACTCTCTCTCTCTTTATTAATGAGGGTATTTTTGGAAAAAAATTATATTTTTTACACATTGATTGTTTTTAACTAATTTTAACTATTTTTTTTTATCAATATAATTCAGTTATTTGTTTCTTATAATAAAGAACGGAGGGAGTATTAAATATGAGAATGTATTGTATGCAACTATTTTTTTTTTTATTAATCGTAAATGCAAAGTTGGGAACGGGGCTCAGTCTGACTGGCTAGTTTGTCGGCTCGCCAGAATTTGCGGGCCAGGCTGGGAAAACAGATTCATCTGGCCTCCCCCACAATACAACCTGTGAGGGAAGAAGTGGGGCCAGCGATTTTTAGAGAGAGTGAGGACTGGGGAATGAAAACCCCAATTAAATAAAAAAAAAAAAAAAAGAGTGAACAGAAAAATCTGATTAAATTCCCATAATAGAAGCAAATATCCATTTCCAGGTGATAGGTATTAAGGTATATACTAGCTTCCGTGCTTAATATAAGAGATAGATAACTAATTTAAAAAGTTAAAAAAATTAATTAAATTAGTTACTTAGAGTAAATGTGTATTGACTTTCCTAAATTATCATATTTTTGTATATTAAAATTATCTCCAGGTGGAAAACCCTTTACAATCAATAAAAATATTATAAACTTAAGAGATGAAATTAATTGAGATATTATAAATGTCATCCATTGACTGGTTCTTATATTTAGACTGGAATTAGTATCTTCCAAACTCTTCATAACTTGTATAAAGTTACACTGTATCATATAACTTTTAATGTCTAACAGACTAAATTATGGGATTGTGGTTCCAATAATTAAACAAACATACGTGAGAGGGGTGAGATGAGACATTCAATTACCCACTCTGCCATTTACACGCAAATTTAAGAAGGGTGAGAGGAATAATGGGAGATCAGAGCTTGGAATATTAATATATCTTTTTTCTAAATCCCCATTAAACTATTCTGAGAACGTTATATAATCAATTATGTTGGGAAAGAAAAATTATTTTTACGTTTTTCCCCCCATAAGCTATAACTCGTCAAAACAAACTTTCTCCAAAACGCCCCTTGTAAGTTTAGCTTAAGTTCTTCCAATAATTCCCTCGTGCTGCTAACAGCGTCCTCATATTAGTATAACTAAAATCAATAAATCATGTTTTTATAGGAGTCAACTTAGGTCGAGAGTTTAATCTAGTTGTTGATGTGAATACCTTGTTCGAGTGATTTAGTAAATACTTATGTAACCTCTTTCGAAGCCTGAAAGTATATTCCAATCTTTTTTTGTAGAAAAAAACTAATTTCTTTAATCATAACCATATTGGCCCTTATTCTTCATGGTGAAACTCATGTATAGAAAGTACACTTTTTACAGCATAGTAAGTCAGTAACCGATCGACGTAGGAAGTGATATGTGCATCGTCAATATTACGTCCTTATACACTACCGGCCCCTCTAAAATCGATGTAAAAAGCCATGAAGAAAATTGTGACAGTAACAATGCAAATAAACAGTGCATCTCATTTCAAGTGATTTTGATTAAATTAAATAATTATTTAGCAGTTGATAATAAGATTTCTCATTTCTCAGTAATCAGTTAATTCAATTTTCCACAACCACATAACACAATTGAGTCAAATTAGTTCAACGAGAAGGGCAGTGAAGTCAGCGTCATAGAATGAAGAAACGGTTCGGCTATAAGCAAGAAACTCAAACCATCCACTAATCCAACATATCCATTATTAAATTGTCATTATTATTTCTCAAATTTCCCTATGTATTTACTTATCACATTCTGCAAATTGGTGGTAATTAATTGATGGCTTCTTGATTACATATTCCACAGCATATACTATCATTTCAAATTTCAAATAAACTTTTAGATAAATTATATTAATGTCAATTGCAATCTAATAATAACGATTATCTCAAGAAATTTTAATTATACAAAAATTAATCCCATTCATTAATGATTGATTAGGGCATCGATTGTGGGACGAGAGGCCAAGAAGAGGTTATGATATGCCTTCTCGGAGGGATGGATTGAATCCCAAAACAGATACTTTGAAGGATCGGAACATACAGAAGAATACTTATTGCAAAGAAATGATGTTTCAATGTATCCACTTCCACAGCAACCACTTTCAACCTCTTCAAACCCTATAACACAACATTATTCAACAGTTATTCATATCACATATATAGCAAATAAAGATGATGCAATGAAATATATTATACATGCCATTATTGTCAAAGTAAGAATAATACAATTTATTTCTCTAACTGGATATAATATTCAGAAAAACATAGGTATATATCTACTTTTTGTTAAATTGAGTGTGTTTAGATATCAGTCTGGATTCTGGAAGTCCAAATCCGATTTTGCAAAACCTCAATTTTATTTGAATACTTGTTTGGTTGCTTTGGCTATGCTGAATTATGTGCCTTTAAACTGACTTTCTCTCATATCAATTGGCCTATTGGCTCAGTTGGTTAGAGCGTCGTGTTTTAAACTTTTTCCTCCCTCTTTAATATTTAAGGTCTAAAATTTTCAGTTAGTGGCGTAAGGTTCTGTTTTTGTTAAGTATTTTCTAATATTATACTCGGCAATTGACATCCAAATATGCATTAAACATTTACAAATTAAAGAGCCATTTACAAATTAGAGACAAACAATCATAAGAGTAGCAGGATTCCAAACATATATCTTTCTGTTGTATGAGTTGTATTATTTTCTTATTAATAAAGATTAACAAGATAATTAAGAAAGGGGGAAATAATAAAAATCAAATATTTTAAAAAGCAAAGGATTGTACTCACCAAAACTGTCATGCGAATGAATCATACTATCCAGGGGACCATAAATGTCGATGTAAGAGATCTTAAGACCAGAATTAGACATGTTGAGTTGCATGAAACGTAGTTCATGTTGAAGCATAAGGTTGTAATCTCTTGCAGCAGAGGAAAACTTGTCCATACAACCTCGTTCCATAAAGGCATCATCAGAGTTTAAGGTTATCATTACAGGCAAACATCCCATAGGAGGTAACCCAGCCACCATAAATTTTCTGCCACCTTCTGCCCATAAGTTCTGCATAATTAATATTGTGTCGCTGATAAGTCACATCCAATAAAAAAGGTACACGCAGAGACTTCATCTTACCTTTATTATAAAACACACCTTCTGAAGAAAGAAAAAAGATCAGTTCTTATTACAAGTCACCGAATAGGGTATTAATTCCAATTTTTAAAGAATACTCCTATTTAATATATCATTATTTGCAACTTATATGGCTTTTTAGATGTAATTCATGATATTAAATATGGATAGGTTATATTTGAATGTTTATTTCATCATTTTCAGACAAAGAGTTGACCACCTCTGATCTTCTAGATTTTGTAGAGATTAGAGGTACCTTATAATAGGATCCTGGAAATATATACCTACACACACACCTATCTAGCTCCGACGTATATTGAATTCATTTCTACGGACCATCTCTATGGAAAGAAAAAGAGAACCAGTTTATGAACCATCTTTATGTGAACACCAAATTCCTCTATATATCGCATATTCAATTGAATATGTGCCCCCCAAAAAACAAACAGTTTCTGAATCATCTTTATACGAACACTGAACACTTCGCATTTGTATTAGTTAAATCGAAAGAATTCAAAAAAGTTATACAGATTTTTATAGCATTGTTTGGATGTATATAGCCATATAATTACCATAGCCTCACAAGTTGGCGTATTCAAGGGGTGTGGGGCAGTGGCTTTATTAGTTTCCTGGCTAACATTAACAGCACAACAACCAACACACCACACACACATTTTGCCAGCCTGTAATTGAAATAAAAATATCTGTGTCTTTAATTTTCTTGTAATTAATATGTCATGTGACAATAATTAGACCGTAGATATTTCATTATCTTCCCAAGAATCCAAATATGTTTGTGTGTGGTGACCGAATGAAGTTGAATTGAAGGCAAACCTGTATGAATTCTTTGACATTTTGAAGCACAAATTGCTGATAGGCCAAGAGGTGGTAGCTCTTTCTTCGTATTGGAATTGTGAAATAATTAACAACGAAATCATTTGTGCCAGCACTTATGAAAAATACAGCCTCGTTCATATGTTTCTCAACTCTTTGCTTCCCAAGCACTTTCTCCAATCTCTTCTTGCATTCTTTGAAATATTCCAGTTGCTTTGGTATTGGAATCACACCCTGCAATTAATTAATGCATAGCAACACAAGAAAAGCCAGCCAAATGATAATAACTGAGAACCCAGTTCATAAGTGGAAAAGTTGAAACAGTTTCATGTTTCTGCATGTGTTTCTGCTATTCTAATCAAGACGACAAATTTAGTTTTCAAAGTTCACGTCATTGATTATTCCAAAGTTCATGAATTTGCAATTGCTATTTGAATTCCAAAGTTTGGTTCCAACAATAGCGCGCACGACACAAGATATATATATATATATTTATAGGATGAAAGACGAGGATCAAAACTCAAGTTCATAATGACACATAATTGATTATATGACAGTATACTGAATACTCAGTAACTTGTCTTTACCCCTTCAAGATATTGCAGACACAAAAAACCAAAGATATATTGAAGCACAGAGACAGAGGGGAAGAGAGAGAGAGAGAGATACACTAAAAGTTGGTGTAAGTGGGTCGAAACCAGAACCAGCAGAAGCGAAACTAACTCCTGTGATAAGATCCTTGTAGCTGAGTTTTGGATCCAAATATGGCGGCACTAAATCTTTCAAACCTATATATGATGCTGAAAAGGGACACATTTAAAACCACAAAGAAGAAACAAGAAATGTTTTCCATTAGTTTAATCCAACTAATACATGCAGAAACATAAACAACAAGCGATGAAGACATAGTATAACAATCCAGAACTGCTGAAACTATATATAGATATATATTGCATTTACCAACAAAGTCAGTGCCAAGTTTTCCATTAGTGAATCTTCCTGTGGGAATCTGATTGGGAAAATCTCTGCCATAGGGTGGGAAATTGCCCTTGAAAGGTGTATTGACGAAGTTATTGTTTCCCGGGTCTACTGTGGAGTCTCCAAAGACGTATATCCCAGAGACCTTCTTGCTCAAAGCTTCGCCTGTTTGGACCGTAAAACATAATAATAAGAAGCAGAGAGGCAAAACTTGTGTAAGAGACAGTAAGGGATATTGTTTGTCAGAGCCTTCCATGTCGCCTGGATTTTTTATGTGAAGTAACATATGATTGTGGCAGGAACAATGGAATCAAAATTTATTGACATCCATATATAGCTGTGATATATATATTCATAGCTTGTTTGGTAGCCGAGAAGAGTTTTGCATTCTTTTATTAGAATGGAGCGAAGATCTTATATTTTGAGGAACAATATAATAAGTATAACATAATTAATAAGTATGAAATGCAAAGAGGTTTTAGTGTATTTTAATATCGTTATTACAGAATTATTTTTTTTCCAAGTGGTTAATATAATATATGGTCCCTCAATTTTGTCTTTGTTTTGATTATTTCTTCAAATTTCAGATCATAGGTTTTGGTCCATCAAAAGACAAAATAGTTTATTTTTTCATTGAATTATAGGACCAATGTTTTAAGTGAAAAGCAATTTGAGGGACCAAAATTTATGATTTGAAACTTAGAGACCAAAGCCAAAATGAGAGCAAATTTAAGGAACTGAAAATTGTATTAACCCTGTTTTTCAAAAAAATGCTAAATATTATTAAATAAGTTATTATTACCAATGCTTATTTGATAAAACATTTTTCTTTGGATATAAGGTATCATCACTCTTAGTAAAATTAACCTTCAAAAGAAATCCATAACCATCGTTTGTTTCAGGCAATATATTATTTCAAGATCAAAAAAGCTAATATATTATTTGAGCACAAACCCTGTGGAAATTCGCTAAAAAACGGCATAAAGGCGTTTTCACTTAAAATTAGAGAACCAATATGCAGAACTGTTCATAATTTATTATTAATATTAGCAGTTCTTCAAGTCCTTTAGATGAATGATAGTGTATATATGTATTATTTTTCCCAATTTTTAGGAGGTGGGGACTTGTGGTTGAGAAAGTTAACAAACATGTTTCATATATGTAATTCAGTAATTATTAAGGAATCATGTTTGGTGAGATACGTAGAACAGGTGAAGAAAGTTAGGTACCAAAGTAGGTTTAATACATATACTTTGAGTTTGGCTTTTCTTGCATGAATGGATTTTGATGTGTTTAACTGAAAACAAACTGATATATCTATATATATCTACCCTTCTTGCTCTCAAATTTTAAGCCTTCTTGTGTCAGACAAATTGTTCAGCTAATCGTTACCTTGTTGGACTACATCATTCCAAACGCTAATATATGTGCTTCCTCTGCATAATTAATAAGTAATAATTAGTTAAAAGTGAAATAAATCTTAACATGTGAATTCTACACTAGATGTCAAAAATTTGCATACAACTCTTTCGAACAAAATTAATAGAATTTGTGTATAAATCTAGCAAATTAAATTATCTTTGTATTCAATATATATATGTCCATAATTGCTAATTTAAGTACTTGTTACCTTCATTTGGAGGTTTCAAATTCAATAATGTTCATTCCAAATAATTAATAATTCGGTGGCTATATTTGGTAAGGGTAGTTTTATTGGACGACAAACTACTACCTTTTGGGGAAAAAGTATCATGTTTTTTAATTTATGCACCTTCAATGTTCAATATATAAATTAGTTACCTAATTTATTTAAATTTTAAAAAATTAATAAAGTTAGTTATTTTTTTAAAAAAAAACATGTGTTGATTTTTTCCCCCCAAATTACCTCATTTGGAAATTATTCTTATTGACTGCATCTATTGTCTATACAATTAATAGAAGTAGTTTGGGGGAAAAAAATAATAAATATATAAGACAAAGTGGATTAAAATCTTATATTTGGGATCAAAACTTATCTCTCAATTAGACAAAACAAAGGGAGTAATTTTGTTAAAAGAAATTCAGATAAAAATTGTTAATAACATTTTGCACATTTTAAAATTTATTTTTCCTTTTTTAAAAAGTAACCATATGTCTCTTTCTTCATTAAAATATTCCGAAATTATTTTCCCACTACTTTTTTTTTATTTAATTTAAGCTCTTTTAAAAAAAATTAAATAACATGACAATCCACTAGTAATTTCACCAGAGGATACCCACCCTTGTAGCCAATATGGTTTTACTCTAAACAATTTCTAACCAAATACCTTAAATTAGTTGTTGGCCTAACAAGGAACAAAGGCCTCAGCTATCGTCTGCAACAAAGGGTTCATCGGCCAAAATGGGCCTTATAACATAACCAGGCCCTGCTTTTTGGAACTTGGGCTTCTTTTCTTTCCGATCATTTTAATCCAACTCGGATCCTCTGCGGTGTTTACAAAATTGATTAATTTTATAATTCGAAATTCTGTGAAAATATTTATTCAAACTTATTTTTGAAAAAACAAATTTAATACTTCAATCAAACTTTTAACGTTTATAAACAAAACTACCTTTTGTTTATTGTTTTTGGTCCGACGGCGTATACAAACCTTGCAGATAAGAACGTAGATACAAATTTTAGATCAGGTGAAGGTGTTAAAAACAGTCTAATTAATAGTTAAATATTTAAAAAAATATTTTGGGATCTTTAAAATAATATTCTTGATGTAAATAGTTGACAAGTAGATTCATATTAAACTAAAGGACCACTGGTAATAAATCTATTTAAAGAAGAAAGATAGGTGGGCAATCACAGAAACATCAAATTAGATTAATATAGTTTTGGTTCAAAACATAATATTCATCAATAGCTATGTTCTAGAACTATAATTTTTTATTACAAAAAAAGAAGATTGATTCAGATACATGTACGGATAGGTTTTAATATGTTTCAACGACCACGCAAGTTCAAAATATTGATTAAAATGCAATATTGCTTGATTTTTAATTAAGCCCTTTAATTTATTCCTCCTGTTTTGAAGTTGTGGTTTAGGTTTATCTATTGGCCAACCGTGTGGCTTAGATTTTCTAACATCCCCCCATCATAAGCCATGTCTTTTGCTCCAAGAAATGTTTCTTGTGGTTTCTTTTACGCCTCCTTGCTTTGCTTTTGATTTGGAATAATTTTTTTAAAGGAAAAATTGATATGCAAGTCCTTGTATTTTCTTTCTTTTTATTGAATCCCTATAATTTCCTCAATCATAGGTATTGATCCCTATATTCACCATTTATTAATTTGCAAGATAAATGACATTATGATATACTCAAAATAAAAACTACAACAAGCATTTCACGCCTTGCATATATAGCATGCAATTAAGGTTTCCAATCAAATACAGATGTCTAAAAGGAAGAGGTTGCAAGTGGAGGGAACCACCATGGCTAGGTTATTGTATTTGTGAAAAATGAAACCATAATGACCCCTATGATTGTTAGGGCTATTTTCAATTGATTTACTACATTGGATTGAGCGACTTTGTAAATTAAAACTATGTTGCTTTTTAGTAACGACATAAATCATCTTTAGAATAACTTATAAGTAATTTTTTAATTGTAATTTACAATTGAAATAAGTTTTGTCTTGACTAATTATGTGAAACATGGTTATAAGTTATTTCAACCGTGATCCCAAATAGGACCATAGTTTCTTGACAACTTTTTCTCCACTGTTTTACTCGCCAGGAATAGATACTGCGGTTGTTCTTTACTCATTTACTTGTACTTATTTATAAAAATGCTTCTGCTTTTATTTAACATCGCTTCTTCGCTTAACCGAATTAAATGGGTGACCTGGTAACTATATTTTGTGGTAGTGGTAGTCAACTCAATATATAGTTGAATTAATTTTGTCACATAAATCTAAATAAAATCAAAATAAACCGAATTATAAGTTATTTATAGAATCAAGAAAACAGTTATGCGTACAATAATTATCTTATTTTTATGTCATCTTAAGAAATTCTTTTTATTTTATATTTTGTGGCAACTTACATGTAATTTAGTTAGTATTTACATTAGCTTTAATTAACAGATAATGGCATAAGTAATAGTTCTTATAGTTGACGAAACCATAATTACCCATTAACAAAAAAAACTACAACGACCGAATTAACAATTAAGCAAAACTATCATAATTAACAAGCTAATTTTCCCCTTTTTTTAACATTAGCAAGGTTTCGACTCTTTATTTCAGCCCATGCACCATTATGCCACCCTTCTGGTCAAAGCTAGCTTACTAGCTTGATTAGGGATTTTCTAATTATTCCATTATAATATTGGTAAAGTCCTACATATATGTTCTGTAGCAAATAAAATCATTCAGATACAACACGGCTAACTAATCTAAATTTGAGTCAGATTAGACATATGGATTTGATCCTCCATATAAAATCTCAAACCGTTTTATCTCCAAATTTATAAATTTTTTAAAATATCTTTATTAATTATACATGCTAATTAGGGATTTTCACTGAGGAGTAGTTCTAATGCACATGATTAAAGAAGTTTAGGAAAGTCCATACATATTTGTTACAAATAAACAATTTAACTAATGTTTTAACATATTTAATTTAGTTATTTAGCTCTTATATTAAAGATATTTCATTGCAAACATAATGTTTCATACATCATCATCAGAAGGAAAAATACAGCTTGGATATGTACACCGAAAGTGTATGTATGATGTGACCAATATAAATGATTTCTTTTATTATATGGAAAACATATGAATTTCACTTAATAATTGTTCTTTGTTTAAAATATTGCTTGGAACATTCCAATTCCAACTGTCAATTATCTTTCTGTACATGGTCTTCTTCATCCTTTGTAATTATAATTAATACCTGCTGCTCCACATAATGCTCAAGTTCTTTTTAATCAATGACAAATCATTTTGTATTGGCACTACTAGAGAAAAAAGGCTTCTCACGACACATAGTCATGGCGGTTATCAAGCAAAATGCCGTTAGAGAGAGAGAGAGAGACTTTTTATTGATAATATACTCAAAAAGTGTACATATGTATGGATATATATATATCCATATATATATATATATATGTTCTCACCACTATAAATTTTTTCTCATATTGATCACATGAAGATATAGACCATGTAAATTACACATCATAATTGTTATAACTTTGTTGACTTAATAAAACATTGCTTGTAAATTTTTAATTATCATTCCAAACTCATTCTTGCAATGCATGTTACCTTAAAAATCATGGAAAGTAACTGTTGACTGGTCGTAATACTAATTAGAGGCTCTTTGAATTCTAATGAAGTAACTATGTATGTGTTTTTGAACTATATAGATAGACAATGACTAATGAGATTGATTCTAATATCATTCTATATTTTATCTACACATTAGTACAAAAACGTCTTTTTCGTACAAAAAAAAGTCCTGCTTATAAATTATTTTTGCACCGGTGAGAATGAATAAATGTCAATTGAAGTTTTCCTATACGTATTTAAATTTCCTAAAACAATTAACAAACTAAAGATTTGAAAGAATAAGCCGCAATATTTTATACCTCTCTTGCTTTGAAGGAAAGAAACTTCCTGAAGGAGATATTATTTAATAATGTCGATTTATTTATAAATATTCGTTACACCAACAAAAAAAACATATAAATATTCGATGTTACAAGGAACAAAACGAAAGAAATCTACTGAAGTCAACTCTTGCATTTTTCTACTTACACTCAATTAAATTTCCTGTAATTAATAAGTAAATCAATCAACCGCGTCACGGATTTCTTAGTCAGACATATTTAGCTTAGGGTTGTTCGACGTTTTTAAAGAAAGCCAAAACCACACAACTTAGAACAATGATCTTGCCAGCCTTTCAAATGCTGCTGCCTCGCTGTTTCTTTGTACAAAGTCAATCATGATTAAATAATTAAATTAAAATAAATGATAACATTCCAATTCCGATGCATTGAACAAGAAGAATCCATACAAGATAAAGGCTCCAAATGATTGAGCAAAGCACACAAGTCAAGAAAAGAGTATTAAATTAATAAATTCCCATTATTTAAACACTTTCCTTTGTATTGAAAACCCTGAAATTCTCCATACCTTAGCTGGTCAGTGAACAAATTCTACAATTTTCCAACTTGGATCTCATTCACTTGTCAAGATAAAGCAAATCCATTAGCTTAGCTGTATACGTGTATCCACACTGCATATATACCTATATATATACATCATAATTTATTTTCTGCTTACTTCAATTAACTGTCATTTCTAAATAACATGGCAAGTCAAAGTGATCATCAAGCAAAACCGAGCTTTGGTTTTGCTTTAATGGAGGCGTCGTCGGAGTTGAAGGATATCAACCAGAAAAGTAGTAATCATCATCATGCAGCTGCAGATTCAGAAGGGATTCTTGAGAATATATGGGCTAGGGTTGTAAACACAGCAGAATCATCGAAGTCATGGGAAGGGCTTCCGAATCTTGATGGAAGAGATGAATCAAAGGAGATCCTACAAAGGCTTCCAAGTTTGGGAAGATGGATATCAATGGGAGCTGAGGCATGGGAAGAAATTTTAGCTGATTTTCCACAGAATCTTCTTCAAGACACATGCAATTATAACAACAATCTGGGAAATTTCTGCAGAAACATTGAATCCAATTGTAAAAATGTAGAACAACAAGAAAAAGAAGAAGTAGATGGCACTGTGAGGCCAAAGAATATGGAAGGTGAAAAAAGAAGACACTATAGAGGAGTGAGAAGAAGGCCATGGGGAAAATATGCAGCAGAAATCAGGGACTCATCAAGGAATGGAGCTAGAGTTTGGCTTGGAACATTCGAAACAGCTGAAGAAGCAGCTTTAGCTTATGATAAGGCAGCTTTGAGAATTAGAGGTCCTAAGGCATATTTGAATTTCCCAATTGAGATTGTTGCGAATGCTTTAGGGTTTGATCTCAAAGGAAGTGACAGTGTCAATAATAAACCAATTATTACTAACTCTGCTTCAACTTGTGAGGAGCATTATTATTCCAGGAAAAGAAGATTGAGAAATATTGAAGAACCTGCGGCTAAAAAGATGGCGAATTTGGGGGATGAAGTAGATGTTGTTGTGTTTCAGGACTTGGGGAGTGATTACTTGGAGAGTTTATTATCTTCCTTTTGAGTTTTGACAAAAAAGCTCATCAAAATTGATAAAGGAAGTTGTAATAGATATATACAAGGTAAAATATTTATGTATTTTCTATAGATATTGCATAACTGATTAGTCATAGTAAGCTGTTTTCCTTGAGGAAAGTGACAACGCATGATTAAATTTTTTACGTAGTTGTCTGCGTTTATTTAAATCTCCAAGTTTTCAGCAATAGCTTGTCTGGATAGATACTAGGAAGGCCCCAAAAAAAAAAAAATCAGGAATTACATGTTCAATGTGAACGTGGTTTAATTTTGATACTGCAGTTTATGAAATTTGAAAAAATACATCTATGTTTTGATGCATAAATATTCTCCTCATAGATTTAATTGGCAGCAGGAACGTTTTTGCTTACGCAGGGACATTGCATGGTGTCCAACTGTGCCATGGCTCAAATTTTCAGGCCATAGCACAATATATATCATCATGAACCTAAAAGCCATATATCATCAAGCATATCATACTTTACATTAACTAGGTTATGATCAATTTCCACAATTAGCTAATAACTTAAAGTGCACTGATCACCCCATAAAAACACTTAAATATAATAACAACAGTCTTTTTTCACTAAATGAGGTCAATTATATGGATGACATGATGTTGGTGTATCTAACAATAACAAAACCTTTCAAATAGATTGTTGATAAAAAAAATCTCTTAATAATTTCATTAAGTGTTTTCATTAGTCTTCATCTACTCTTTTCCAAAAAATTTTATACTATTTGATCAACTCTTCTCACCATTATATTCAACTAGTAAAAGATATGAAAAAGAGTATTTAAATGCAAATTTAATAATTAAATAATACCTTATGTACAAAGATTGAGGAGTGCTCATTTAGTCCTATTTATAGGCTCTTTTTTTTTGTTGCCAGGAGTCCTATTTATAGGCTAGAGAAAGAAATTTTTATATGAATGTACATTTTTTTTCTTTTATTTATTATTGTTTAGCTTTTTTTTTTCTATTGATATAATGTATATTAAATAGGGATAAAGTTGAAAAGCTATTAAATTTTAAAGGGTAGTTTTTTTTGGGTGAAAAGAGGAATTCTAAAGGATAGTTAATGAAGTTTAAGTTTTTTTTAAATGTATGAACTATGTTAGAAGTGATTTATAAATAGGACCAGAAGAGTATATTAGAAGCGTATATTATAATAAGAATGACTGACGTTGTCACAAATACTTCAATTATAATTAATAGCTTTTATTATTAGTATTATTATTACCATTGGAATTTGGAAATCCCTATCAGTTTCTTATTTTAATGTGGCCATTAAAAGGACTTGTATCAAGGTCAAATTAATATGGTGACCATTGTTGTCAGTGGAAGTCCCTTTCACTCGCTGCCATATTTTAAGTAGTTTTGGTAGCAATCCTATGGCATTGGGAACTATTGAATTTGGCTTTTGTTGAAGTTGATGAAGTTGTATGAAATATAGGTGTTAATAGTGGAGAAATGATATAATTTAAAAAATAAGAAGAAAAGAATTTTTAAATCCGATTTTCTATACAAGCCCTTGTCAGTATTTTTGTTAGTTTTTGCGACACTAAGAAAAATCTTGATATCTTTTCAAATAGGGTATATCCCTGCCGGGGGATTTTTTTTGGTCTATAATAAATAATTTGACCGTTAGTAGATTTTTTTTTTTAAATGGACGTGAACAATTTCCTTAGTAATTATAAATTTGGCAACCGGCTACTATATATTAAGGGATAGATGGAGTGTGCTTTTCTTATTGTCAATAAAGAGTTAAAGACATCAATGAATATAACATGCACGTTAAGAAAAATTATAATTAAAGAGTCACACTATTCATAATTCATGAATGTGTGTGACGCGTCTCAGACATTCCAATATCCATGCAAATATAGAGGATTCACTCTAGGTCTATTTTAAAAATTAATAGAGCTCAATATTGTTCATAAGTAATAATCCTTCCATTCCTTTTAGATCGTTTTCAAAAGAACACGTTAACCAGTATATTAAATTCAGGAAAATGATTAAAATCAGTTCATTATCAAAGATTTTAATATTATTCAACATGCACATTATTCTGAACTTGTATGCCTTCGATTCGACATTCTTTTCTGCTGGAAAAAATGTACAAAAAAAGAAATTTAAAAACTATGGCAGTCGAAATAATGAAATGTCAATGCGAGAATAAGCATAATATTAATAATAAGGTGTTTTATGTATACATACAAATCAAAGAAATGCTCACTTCTCGTTAAGACGAATACTAAATATTTTCATGCGTATATACCAAATCCACATTATTTAATAGTGTCATTATCTTTGCTTTTCAATTTGCATTATGAAAGTCAAAACACATGCTTCTAATGATAATGACATAAAGAATTCCCATCACAATAAAAATTGTAATTAATTATATATAAAGCTTTGTATAAAAAACAATAGTTTATTTGTATACATTACTTGAAGATTGACTATGTTATAAATAATAATTATCCTCATAATGAAAGAAAAAATTGATTTGTTCAATGCATCCTTAGCAATATGGGCTTTGAATTGCCCTTTTGGAGATTCATAAGCCATATATGATGAACACAGATACATCTCGTAAGCTAAGACCTCTCTGTAACGGCACTCTCTCTTTTCATTTTTTGTATTTTGTTTGAAAGCGATGTTCGATTTTTTTTTTGAACCATACGAGTTAATCAGAAATCAGAAACATTTTTATGTGTAAATAAATATAAGATATTATAAAGCATAATTTCGAAAAAGTTTAATAATTTTTGGTCCAATCCTCTTGTGCGTCTATTTTATTTTAATTGAATTAGTAGAAAATTTGACTCAAGGTTTATTAATTTCATCATGGCTAAATCAGTCGTAACTAAATTAACATATTTTTAATTTCATATGCAAAAATAAAGACATAAATATAAATAATTCATTCAAAATGTTAAAAAAAATTGTATAATTCAATGTGGACGATTCAGACTCGTAATTTGCCATTAAAATGGTAATATTATAGAGATGTTTCAACAACGCTAAAGAAGTTAATCCCCATTATATATAACATCATTATAACGATATGACGAACTGTTAATTAATCACCCCCAATGATTCCACACGTTGGCCCCATTACTATTATCTCATAGTATAGACTTTCCATGTTGATTGGCTCTGAATAAAATAAAAAATAATACCACTTCTAGTCCTTAATATATATAAGATTAGTTTTAGGTAAATTTGAACCGCAAATTATATCTTATATTAAGCACCATAAGTAGTAAAAAGTTTGAACATGGATCACTCTACTGCCATTGGGGTTATATACTCCAATTTTATTAAGATGCAATTGAATTGAATATACTTTTCTAAATTCATTATACATACGTAATATATATAATCTTCCTCTATATATATTATAAAATATATAAGAAAAATCACATTACTTATAATTCATAAACAATTACAACTGAGCACAATATTTCAAATTAACCTTGATGCAGAAAGTAGGCTCCAACTACCTAGATAAATAAATACAATCAATTATATTATGCCAAAACACATACCAAATTTTGTTTTGAATCCACAAGAAATAAATCAAATTTGGGATCATAATTCTGATGCCTAATATTCTCACTGCGTAGATTTTCTACCCTCACATCATCTAAATTCAAATCAAAATTACCTACACGTCACATCTATCTGGAATCAAACTCGGATTCTTAACAGAACTTGCACATGAGCCAACAGCAGCACTTGAATCAGACTCAGAAGAAACCTTATCATTCAATCTTTCTGGTCTGAAAATAGAAGAAGAAGAAGCTACGACGTCACGAGGGAAATTGAGAAGAGCCTTAGAGCCTCTCATTCTGAAAGCAGCTCTGTCGTAAGCCAAGGCGGCCTCTTCCGCCGTCTCAAACGTCCCCAGCCAAACCCTAGCCCCATGGCGAGCCGAGTCCCGGATCTCAGCCGCATACTTCCCCCACGGCCGCCGCCTCACGCCCCGGTAGTGCTTCTTGACGTGGCCGCTGGTGGTGGCCTGACGGAGGCCAGGGACTAGTGCAGCTGCAGTCGATCTGTGAGAAGGTGGAAGAGCGTTGGCTTCGGTGAGGACTTGGTAAATTACCATGTCTTGAGAATCATCATGGTTGAGAGGAAGAAGCTCAGCTTGGGAAGACGATGACGCCATGGATGGATGAAAGGATTGTGAGGATTTGGAAGGGTTTAATTAGTAGTTATAGTGGTTGTGGTGGGGACAGTGAAGTGAATAATTTGTGGTGGTGGTGAGATTATAATGGTGGAATAGGATTTGGGAACTTGTGAATGAACGGACTATATATGGTTTCAGTATTTTTGTTGGTGTCTTGGTGGGGCGTAATTGTATCTACCCTTGGCTTTCTCTCCAAGTACAATATTATATATGGGTATAGAAATAAGCAATATTATTCACATTCATCACGACAAAAGAAAAATGATATGGTTTTGACTTTTTGTGCATAAAATCTTGAAAGAAAATAAATAAGTAAATAAGTAAATGAAATTATTCTCCATTTCTTATTAGGAAAATTATTGAAAAATCCCCCGTTACAAAATTTATTGCCCAAAAGTACCTAAGGACAAGTCTACGAGGGTGTGTAACTCTTTTTCAATTATATACAACATATATTTAATTATGTACAAATGTCTCATGTTTTGGCATTTTGCATATAGTTAAAGATAGATTGTACATATATTAAAAAAGAGTTATACCAGCCAAAAATATTTTGTACATGGGTTATTAAACCAATTTTAGGTATCTTCGGACAATAAATTAATTTTGTAATGAGAGATTTTCTTTTCCAGCAATTTTTCCTTTTTTTTCATTTGTACTTCTGAAAATAAAAATAAAAATATTATTATTTAAAAGAATTAACTTCAATTTTAAATTATATCATTGGAAAAATATATTCATAATCTCTGTGCGGTTCTACTCATGTTCAACCTAGTTCTTATACGAGAAAATGACACAAAAATGACACTTAAATTTGAAAATCCCTATTTAGTCACCTACATAATGAAAATCCCCATTTGCGCACACACGACCAAATTGGGACTTTGAAATTTGCTGAAGAGACCAAATTGCCTTATATATATATATATCAAGCACCCTCACCAGCCAGCTGATAACTTCTCAAAATTCCTACTGAGTTAAGTTGATTTAGCGCTCTTTTATTGGGTTTGAAAGTCAATTTTGTAGGAAACAAAGCCTGAGGAGAGTAAAAAATGGAGAAAAGCTGAAAAGAAGTCAGCCGCCGCGGCATCTGGAAGAAAATGCCACGGTGGCTCAAACAGAGAGGGAGGAGTGCGTCTCTGTAAAAGGCGCCGCGGCGCCTTATTGAATCCGCCGTGGTGCCCAAGCTGTCTCGGAGGAAGCCTGTTCGGTATAATCCACCGCGGCCGATTATCACATGCGCCGCAGCGCCTGTGCCTCGAAGGAAAGCCATTTTGTAATACGCACCGCGGCGCCTGAAGGAATCCGCCGCGGTGCCTAGCCCCTCGCGGCCGTGTGTTTTATGTGGTAACTTAAAAAATTAGGGCATATAGAGGTAGATACTCAGTTTTTTAGGGGGACTTCGACTTTGGAGCAATATTGGAGCCTGGCTCTGCTAGGGTTTGGAGCTTTGGAGGCTTGGAATCTTTGGGCTTGAAGCTAGAAGAAATTCAAAGCTTATAACTTGATTTTTCTGGGTTTTCTTCTTCTTCCCTTCTTGTTTCTGCTATGACTACTAGCTACTCTTATAGTTGTAGTTCTTTACTCGATATGTATAGCTAAATCCGCTTTTCTAGGGTTATTTTGATCTATTGTATGGATTGAGACTTGGTTTTACTATCTCTTGAGTGTTAATGATAATGTTCAGTTGTTTTTACTTTGAGCTTAATGCTTCCTTTTGTCTGGCCATCATTTGGAATGATTGTTTGATTGGTCTAACTTGAGAAAGTTAAGTTAATCTGTGAATTTTGATAAAAACATACTAGTCCAGAAATTTAATTAAGTAAATAGATGGTTTGTCGATAGAGCAGAGATGTATCTGTTGACCTAGCATAGACTAAATAGGTTTTGGTTTTTAAAGTGCAACCTTTTCAAACAAGTGCAAGAGATTGCTGTGTTTTAATCGTGATTGCAAACATTTGGTTTTGACTTGAGAAAGCTTAATCAATTCTGCAAACCCAGGCTAACTGAACTTATTGTAAAGCACTGCTTGAGAAGTAATTAATCCAGTTTCATGAAGTACTTAGAGAAGAATAACCCTAGTCTCTTAATTGTTTCAAGGTCGAGTTGATTTTATACTGCTTTAAACCATTGTTATCCTAATTTCATTTCACAAACTCTTTTACAACAATTGTTTCACTTAACCTAATCAAGTACACAATTATGATTTTCAACTCATCTAGCCTTAGTCTCTGAGGGAACAATACTTTTTATATTACTTGCGACCCGTCCACTTGCGGTTAAGTTAATCGGTGAACAAGTTTTTGGCGCTGTTGCCGAGGACTAACGGCGAGAGTGTTTGAGGTTGATTGTCCTTATTGTGTGATTGGTTACGCTTAAGTTTCAGTTAGCATTTGTAGTGGTTATAAGTAGTAGTATTAGTATTTATTTTGTTCATTTCTCTTGATAAGTTTGATACTTTTGTTTTTTATTTGAATGTGCAGGTAACCCCTGATGCATGCAAGGAAGACTGGAAGTTATTTTGGAAAAGTTACTGAAGAAGAATCCAAGTCAGGAGAAACTGAAAACACACCGGAGATTCAACAACAACCTTAGTTACTTCTACCACAGCCACCTGAATCTGAATCAGAAGAAAACATGGCAGAGGAAGATGAGAACGACGTGTACACCCTGGATGACTATTTGGATAAAGAAGGGCATACTTTTCACTCAAGTATCCGGCTACCAAACATTCAAGCCAGGAATTTTGAAATCAAGCCCATTATGATTCAACTACTAGGGATAATGGGTACTTTTGAAGGAAATTTTAATGATGATCCGAATGAGCATTTGACCAAGTTTATAGAGGTTTGTAAGAACTTCAAACAAAATGGGATTACTAAAGATGCACTGCGATTGATATTGTTCCCCATGTCGTTATCTCACAAGGCGAAAACGTGGTTGAATTCTTTACTAGAACACTCCATTAAGACTTGGGATGATCTTGTATCTAAGTTCAAGGCCAGATTTATTCCAAGGGACAAACGTGCTACATTAAGGGGTGAATTGCTTTCTTTCAAGTAGCATCTAGATGAGTTATTCTACGAGGCTTGGGAAAGATTCAAGGATATATGGAGAAATTGTCCAAATCATGAGTAAAAGAAATATGTTCTAATAGAAGCTTTCTGGAATGGGTTGAATGATCAGACAGTGACAATGCTGAATACCGCTTCAAACAGAGGAATAAGAAAGATGAAGGTAAATGAGCTATATAAACTGTATGAAGAGGTGGCATCTAGCACTATGCAACAGTATAACAAGAGAAGGCAAAGTTCTGGGAGATATAAGGAGCCTAGTTCTTCATCATCAAGGGATATTGCATTGCAACTCGAAGCAATATCTAAGAGATTTGACAATCTGGAATTGCAGATTAAGAAAGGAAATGCTGTAGGAGTTCATGCACTTCAGGCTCCGGGATACACGTGTGACCATTGTAATGAGGAACATCATTCTGATCAATGCCCATACACCTTGGAGACAGTCAATTATATGAATAATACACAGCGAAGACCACAAGGAAGCCCTTACTCTTAAACTTACAATCCAAATTTGAGAAATCACCCAAATTTCTCTTGGCAAAATGGGTCAAGTTTGAATCCACCACAAGTATTACCATTTGGTGCTAAACAAATGGGGTCTCCTGGTTTTTATGGTCAACCACAGCAACATCAACTACAACAGCAGCATCCTTAAAAGGAAGAATCCAAAATTGAGAAGATGTTTGCTCAACTATTAGCAAATCAAGAATCTATAAGGGCTGAGAATAAGGCAACATTTTCTCTCCATGAAACTGCCATCAAGAATCTCGAAGTGCAGATGGGTCAACTGGCTTCACAAATGAATGTACTCACAAGAAGCAGCTTACCAAGTGATACCATTCCCAATCCAAAAAGGGATGGTAATGAAGAATGCAAAGCGATCAGTTTGAGAAGTGAAAAGCAATTACCTGACATTCAGAGGCCAAGTCAGACCAACAAGGACACCACTAACAGTATGGCGACTGACCTTGATACAAATGAGCTTGCAGAAGAAGGTGGTGTAATAAAAGAGGAAGAAACCAAGAAAAGGAAACAAACAGAAGAAAATCTCAATGATGTGGTTAGAGGAAAAAATATAGAGGGTGAAATGGTTGATGATAAAAAGAGGAAGACAACTCCCCCTCTTGCTACACAGATGCCGCCACTTCCCTTTCCTCAAAGGTTCAGGAAGAAAGATGAAGATGTCAAGTTCAAGAAATTTGTGGACATGTTTAAGCAATTACACATCAACATCCCGTTTACTGAAGCATTAGAGCAGATGCCTAAGTATGTCAAGTTTCTTAAGGATGTTCTCTCCAAGAAGAAGAGATTTGGTGAATTTGAAACAGTATCCCTTACTGAAGATTGTAGTGCCATCTTGCAGCGAAAGCTCTCACCCAAATTGAGAGATCCAGGTAGTTTTTATATTCCATGCAACATAGACAAACACTTCAATGGAAAAGCCCTATGCGATTTGGGAGTAAGTGTTAACCTGATGCCTCTGGCTGTATTCAATCGATTAAATTTGGGTGAAGCAAGGCCAACAACTGTTACATTACTCTTTGCTGACAGAAGTATCTCATATCCAAAAAGGATTGTAGAAGATGTCTTGGTGAAGGTAGATAAATTCATATTCCCAACTGATTTCATTGTGTTAGACTGTGAGGTAGATTGGAATATCTCCATTATTTTAGGACAGCCATTCTTAGCTATCGCAAGAACCCTTATTGACGTAGAAAAGGGTGAGATCACCATGCGAGTAAATGATGAGAAGGTGATATTCAACATGAATCAAGCCTTGAAGTTTCCAGATGATTCTGCTAACTGTAATTGTATCGATGTGATTGATTCTACAGTGCAAGAGGAGTTGATTAACTCTTTGACCAGAGACCCATTAGAAGCATTGTTGATTGGAGAAACAAGTAGTATTGATGGCAAGGTTGAAGCTTATGCAGAAATGATAAGTATTGAAGCATTTTCGTATCGAAAAGCTAAGACTTTTGAGCCTCTAGATGTGACTA